CTTTGGCTCCACGGTGGCTTACCACGGTGTGACCGTCGTCACCCAGCCCTGGTCGAAAGCACCGCCGGAACTCATCGCGGTGCCTCTTTCTTTCTCCTTCGTTCTTCTTCTTCGTCTTCTTCGTTCTTTTCCCAGGGTGAGACGGCTTGGAGGCGCTGACCCCGATGTGTGTGTGTCGTGTGTGTGTCGTGTGTGTGTGTGTGTGTGTGATGGTCGTTGTTGTCGGCGCCGATGATGAACGTCCTTCAGCTCAAGAAGAAGATGGTGGATGAGCTGAAAGTGGAGGTCAACTCCTTCCTGTGTACCAGATACCTCAACGGTACGCGCCGGCGGGCCGGTACCAACGCGTAACCGTTGTCGCTTCGTGTACCGCGCGGTCACCCCCACACACATGATGACGACGACGCACACGTCATCAGGGCTTCAATACATTGGCAAGCACGCGGACGACCAAGCCAACGTGAAGGACGGCCGCGTGGTCACGGTCTCCCTTGGCGCGTACGTCACGGCACTCCCGAATTTCACTGCGGCTGTGGTGGCGGCGGCGGCTGGGGCTGCGGGAGTCGCAGTCATGGCGACGACACCCACCTCGCTTTGACACCGCCATATCTTTAGGGAGCGAGACTTTTGTTTCGAAGACAGAGGCGCAGGGAAGAAATGGATCGTGTCACTGGTTCGTTTGCACCCCTCTCAACCGTTGTGTGTGTGTGTGTGTCGTGCATGTGCGGTGGTGCATGTGCGTGCGTGCGTGTGGTACGCAGCATAAGTTGAGCGCTCACTCTTGCGAATGGCGTGCAGCCGCACCGGTCTCTGTACATAATGGAGGGCGACTTTCAGAAACATCTTGAGCATTGGGTACGCTTTGGACCACCCGCATCTTATATATATTCATATACACTCATACACATCTATATATATATATTCCCCCTTGGCCAGATCCCCGCAGCGCCGGAGGTGAAATCCGAGCGGTGGTCCATCACCGCGCGGTTCCTCCTGAATGTGGACGACTCTCACACCACGGTACACCACGACCGCTATTTATTTATTCATGTATTTATTTATTTATTCATGTATTTATTTATTTATTTATTTACCGTGGTTTGTTTGGTGAATAACTGTGGACTCCTCTTTTGGGTGGTGGTGGCAATGCAAGGTCGAACCTCCCGGCTGTCTTACGCTGGCCGAGCGCGATCCGTTTTGGATCGCGAAAGGTCTGCCTGTGCTCTCACTGCAGTCATATATAAATATATATCATTATTATCAAATATATCAATATATTTACTAGTATTACTTTTGCAACATGTATGTATATGTGATATCTCGTAACTGATTTTGGTAATTGGGCGCGTCTATCTATCTATCGCAGCGCTAAGGAAGAAGCAGCCCAGCTTCTTCGGCCACCCGCCGCAAGTCCCGGTCGGTCACGTCTTCGAATCATTTTCGCCGGTGATGGAGACCGGGCTCCATCCCACCCATGGTATATTTCATATTTCATATATACATCTATACATATTTCTACATATCACTCTATCCACATCGATCGATCGAGTTGGCGCTCACACATGTGGTGTATATATATATGTTATGCGGGGGTGATGCAGTACAAGCCGTCGCGGGAACGAGCAAAGAAGGTACGACCTTTGACGCCTATGGAGAGAAGAAGAAGTAATACTTATGTGTGGCCATCTTGTTGTTTATTTTTAAAAATGAGCAAAACGAAACGAAACAATCGTGTTAACAACGACAACGACACAACGACAACGACACACAACACGACAACGACACACGCAAAGGCGTGAGGTCGATGAAGATGGGCCGGGAACGCAATCTCGTTAACATGGACCGGCTGGACAGCATCGTTTGCTTTACGAACGGCACCCACAGCCGCCGGTACGCCTCTCCCGTGGTGGACCACTATTGTTGGCAATACTACGACTGCCGTGACGCACGTTTCAACACACACGACACACAACACACAACACACACACGACACACGACCCACACACAACACGCGCGCGTTTGACTCGAGCAGTGGCGGCCAGCCGGACATCGATGCCACATTCTCCAACGAGAGGAACAAGCCGTGGCTCACCTCGATGCTGTCCAACAAACCGATCAGGGTCCCATCTCTCACCTCCCCTTCTTTCCTCGATCGTCTTGATCTTGACCCCTCGCTTCGTTCGTTCTTTCGTTCGTTCTTCGTTCTTCGTGTGGCTCACTCAGGTGGTGGTCAGCTCGTCGACGACGTCGCCGTTTGCCCCGCAGTGCGGCCCCGACGGAGAAGACAAGTGGCACTATCGAGGCCTGTTCACGTGCCGCGGCGCCTACGTGGTCGAAGTGGACGGCCTCTACCGCATCTACGTCAGCCTCGAGGCCCTCTCCCGCGAACACACCTACCGCCCTCCTCTCGTATGTCTCCCCCCCCAAAACACTCTTTTCACACATGACACACACGACACACACACACACACACACACACAACGCCGCACACACGACACACACAACACGCACAGGATGCACACACACGCACACACACACGCACACACGACACACACGCATAATCTCACCCGTCATCTCGTCGCGCATTAGGAGCACGGGGTCGTGGAAGACAGCGACGGGAAAGAGAGCGACGACGACGACGACGACGACGATGACGACGGCGACGACGACGGCCAGAAAGGGGGAGCGAGCAGAAAGCGAAAGAGAAGGCGACGCGGCACGACTACGAAGGAGAAGAGGAGGAGGAAGAAGAGGAAGAGGCCGGCGTGCCAACAGCTTCGAAGCGATGGCGACAGGCACGAGCAGGCAACGACGTTGGAACCGGAAACGCAGCAAATGGATGAAGCGGAGGTGGAGGTGGAGGAGGACGACGACGACGACGCAATCGAGGTGGACTTTCCACCATCGCGGCAGGCAGTGGCCGACGCCGGCCCACACGAGGTGCAGTTCTGTTTTCTTCTTTTCTTTGTTCTTCTCTTCTTTTCTTCTCTTCTTATTGTAGTGGGCTGCGGCTCCTACATTAGGCCGCCGCCGCCCAGGCCGCACTGTGTTGTCGCTGGAGCAGGGAGTCGGCCGTCGCGGCGCACATCATGTTCGGCACCCCGCCCTCCGCCGCAAACTTGGATCTCGATCATCGCCTCGGTACCGCCGGTGGCTTGAGTGTGTCGTGTGTGGTGTGTGTGTGTGTGTGTCGTGTGTGTGGTGTGTGTCGTGCGTGTGTCGTGCGTGTCGTGCGTGTGCTAACGTCAAGGTGTCTCTCTTTGTTCAGGCTATGTGCTGGCGGTGGGCGAAGAGAAGCGGCTTGCGGCGGACTCGTTTGCGGGCCTGCCTCTGTTTCAGCTCCACGCGTACCTCATCCGCCACCGAAGCGCGCACCTTTCCGATCGCCTCACCCTCCCCGAGCTCCTGGGCTACCTCAACTCCCTCCCGCTCTTCCAGCTCCGTACCTGCCACCCGCCTCTCTCCAACGACACGACACGACCAACGACACGACACGACACGCACCACGACAAACGACACGACACATACGACACGCGACACGAAACCCACGACACACGACGCATAATGTAATCAGGCACACGACACACACGCGGCACACACACGACACACACGACACGACACGACACGACACGACCAACGACACGACACGACCAACGACACGACCAACGACACGACCAATGACACGATCAACGACACGACCAACGACACGACCAACGACCAACGACACGACCAACGACCAACGAAACGATGTGTTCTCTTCCAGGTGAGCGGGCTGTCGCGGTGCACGCGCGGCTACGAGCCGAAGCGGCGCACAGCCGGGATGACCCGCGTGGCGGCGGCGGCGAAAGAAAGGCGGAGGCGAGGATCGCAGAGTACCTTTGCAGCCTCGAGGACCTCACCCAGGTACGCGCCCCATGTCGTTGTCCACTTCTTCGTTCGTTCTTCTTCGTTCGTTCTTCGTTCTTCGTTCTTCGTTCGTTCTTCTTCGTTCGTTCTTCGTTCTTCTTTATTGATTCAAAAAGTCGTGCGTGCCGCGCTGACTTTTTGTTTCAATCAACCAATCAATTGGAGGCCCACGTGGGCATCAAGGAACCCGAACAGGGCTTGCCCTGCTACTTCCTGACCAACGCCTGCCTCTTCGGTGCTCTTCTTGACAACACTCGCGCGCGTGTGCGCGTGCGCCATCACTCATTGTCGTGCGTGCGGTGTGTGTGCGGTGCGTGCGGTGGGGGGGGTAACAGACCAGTCGGGCGGCATGGTGTCGCTGGAGCGCGTCCGACCGGACGCCCGGGCGAGCGTCGTCGGCCAGGTCACGGGCCACCCGTCGACCTGGGTCCTCGCGGCCCCGGCCTCCCCGCTCCACCTCGACTACGGCATGTCCGGCCTGTGGCTGCGCGTCGACAACCCCTTCCGCGCCTGGATCAGGTGCGTCTCATCGTCGCCGTCGTCAACGTCGTCGTCATCATCAACGTCGTCGATGTCGTCAATGTCGTCAATGTCGTCGTCGTTGTTGTTCGCTGGGCTGGGCCAGCTCACACAGCGCGCGCGCGCGCAGGGTGATGTCGGGTAGCGAGCTCTACACGCCCTTGTTCGTGTCCACGCTGCGCAAGGCCCGCATGGCCTACGCCGTGCACGACCACATTCGCCATCTCCCGGCTTGCGTCAGAACGAAGGTGACCTTCCGTTGGCTCGTCGCCAAGGTTGGTCGCCCACCCACCTCCACTCCACACATGACACACGACACACACACACGACACACACACACGACACACACACGACACACACGACACACACAGGCTGACGAAGAGCGCCTCATCAGCTGCAGGGCACGTACTCGGAGGCGGACATCGCGAGCGCGGCGGCCTTCCTCTACGACCACCTGGAGCAGGAGCACCCGGGCGTGCCCTGCATCGACCACCTCGACACCCTCCCAAGGCCCGAGGTGCCGCTTCGCTCTTCGTTCTTTTTTCTTCGTTCTTTGGCTGATGGGGGGGGGGCATCAACAGGCGCCGAAGCCGCGGGCGCCCGCCATGCTGGTCCCGCACTGGGCCGACACGGAGCACCGTTTGGTGTGGGTCGCCCAGCAGATGCCCCGCGGCGTGCGCCACCCTCCGCGCCTTGGGCTGAATGACGACGATGACGACGACACGACGTGTGGTGCTGACGTGTCATCATTGTTTGTGGTGGTGGTTGGGGGGCAAGGTGGCGATCGAGCCGCGGTTGGGCATCTACACGGAGCCGCCGGAGGAGCGCGAGGGCAAACGCAAGGCCGACCCCAAGCCGAGCAGCGCGAGCACGCGCAAGTCGAGCCGACGCACCAGCAGACCACCTTCGCCTTCGCGCGACAAGACCAGCGCGCATTGACACAAATGGTGGTGGATGATGGTGGATGGTGGATGGTGTTGTCCCTTGTACCTATATAGTGAATGAAGAAGAGCACCAAACCAAACCATGTCACCATGGCAAGCGAGGGGGCGGGTGAGGGCGGTGGCACGATCAGAACCACACGTCGGTGGCCCACCGGCCCTGCTCGTGCAGGCGCGCGACGTAGGCCTCGGCCTGGTCCCGGTCGTTGTCGGCGAGCTTCTCCGCCACGATGTCCACCACGGCCGCCCGCACCGCCGGAGCCATCTGCGCGGCGTCACTGTAATGAAAGAAAAAAGAACGCCCCCACGTCAGCTCTCTTGGTGCAAGCCCACGCACGATTGTGATCATATAGTGGCGGAGAAGCAGCACTGAGTCGCTTGCTCGATCACAATTGAAACAGCCCTCGCCAGCCCCCTCCAGCCCCCTCCCGCCCCCTCCCGCCTATCCTGATACGTGGTTTGTGGTAGGGCGAGCCGCGGTGTGCGTACCCGCAGATGTAAAAATGGGCCTTCTGCTCTTCCAGCAGCGTCCAGACGAGCTCCTTGTGCTCACGCAACCGATCCTGCACATAAACCTAACCATCGTTTGGGCCGCCACATGGGGAGGAGAGAGCATTAGCGTGGGACGGCCACCACACGACACGCACACGACACGCACGACACGCACGACACGCACGACACGCACGACTTTAAAAAAGGTACCTTTTCGTTTTGCTCGCGCGAGAAGGCGACGAGGACGTTGGAGAGGTGGCCGGAGGCGAGGGCCGTGTTGAGCTCCTCCTCGTAGAGGAAGTCCTTGGCCCGCTCCCTGCACCCGAAGAACAGCACCGCCTCGCCCCGCGCGCCGCCCTCCTCGCGCAGGTGCTTCCTCTGTCAACACCAAACCGCACACGCACACACACGACACGACACACACGACACGCGGTGATTAGCGGCGAAGAAGAACGAAGAAGAACGAAGATGGGGGGGGGGTACGTGGTGGATGAAGCCGCGGAAGGGGGCGATGCCGGTGCCGGGTCCGACCATGATGAGGGGCGTGCTGACCGACTTGGGCAGCCGGAACTGCGATTTCCGCACGAACAGCGGCACCGTGTGCCTCTCCTCTCCCTCTTCTGCTCACGACACGGCACACAACACGACACACAACACGACACGACACACAACACAACGACACGACACGCGCGGGGGGTCAGATGTGTATCGTGTGCCGTGTGGCGTCGTTTGGTGGTTGGTTACCTTGGGCGGTGCCGGGCAGGAGGCGAAGGAAGTGGGTGGAGCAGACGCCGTGGTGGAGGCGGCCCGTGCGGGTGGTGAAGCGGGTGACGACGCACGTGATGTGGATGCGGCCGGGGTGCTCCAGCGGCGACGACGAGATCGAGTAGTAGCGCGGCGCCAGCGCCGGCAGCAGCTCGAGCAGGTGCCCCACCGGCACCGCCACCGACGGCAGCGCCTCCAGCACCTCGCCGATCGTCCTTTTTTTAGATATTTAGATATTAGATATTTAGATATCAGATGTTTAGATATGTAGATATTTAGATATTAGGTATGTGGTATGGGAGGAATGCATACCGGCGGTCTTCCTTGATCCACTGGGCGTAGTTGAGGCCGCGGGGCTCGTGCGCCGGCTGGTCGGTGCCGGCGGAGAGGGCCTTGAGCGCGGCGCTGTCGGCGTCGCTGCGCGCGTACTGGACGAGCGCGTGCAGGAGCGACTTGCGCGGCGGCGTGGTGATGTCGACCAGCTCCAGCAGGGCCTGGCGCAGCGTGACGGGTCCCATCGTGTACTTGGCCTTGCTCGAAGCCGCCGCCGCCGCCGCCGGCGCGAGTGCGATCAGGCGATCCAGATCGGCCTCCGCGCCGAGGCGCCTGCGCACCAGTGAGCCTTTCAAGATAAAGAAAAGAAAAAGAAAATGAAGAAAAATAAAGAACGAAGAAGAAAGAAGAACGAAGAAGAGGGGGGGCGCGCACTTGGCGAGGGCGAGAACGAGGTCGGGGTCGTTGTTGGCGTAGACGCCGACGTGGTCGCCGGGCTCGTAGGTGATGTTGTCGGGCACGGCGATCTCGATGTGTCGGCAGGAGCGCTCCGACGTGGAGCCGTGGAGCTCCCTGTTCACCACCACCTGGCACACCAGCGGGTTCTTCGCGTCGTGCACCCTGTCGCCCGCGCATAGCCGCAACACGCGCGACGACACACACATACGACACACGACACACACACGACGCACACACACGCACACGCGGTGTGAGAGGAACGGTGTGTTTAGGGGGGCGGGTGGGGGGTACCCCTGCTTGGTGGTGCCCACGGCGTGTCCGGTTTCCTTGAAGCGCTGGAGGGCGCGCTGCCCCTCCTCGCTCGCGTGATCCACGAAGACCAGCGTATTGCGCGCCTTCCTGCCTCACGACAACATACGAACACACACAACACACGCGGAGGAGGGGTCAGGCGGGGGCGGGTGGGGGCAGGCGGGGGCGGGTGGGGGCAGGCGGGGGCGGGTGGGGGCAGGCGGGGCGGGTGGGGGCGGAGGCATAAGTACACGTCGTAGCTTTCAGTCTCGAGGGCGGCGCCCTCGAAGGGAAGGTCGTGCAGGCGGCAGAGCGGACCCCAGAGGCCCTTCTTCCACTTGGCAAAGTCCTCTTCGAGGGACGAGTCGTCGTCGCCCTCGCCCCGCTCGTAGAAGCGGGCCGCCGAGAGCTCCTCCATGCGCCGGTCGATCGCCCGCCCGATCGCGTTGTAGTGCTCGTACGTGCGATTGCCCAGCCTGCGTCGCGACGAGTGCGCCTCGCGTGAGGCGCCGCTTCGAGCGCGGGGGAGGGGCGGGCGAGGGCTGGAGGGGGCGGGAGGGGGCGCTACGCACCCGAAGACGGTGAAGTTGACGCGCTCGAGCAGGCCGGGCTCGCGGTCGTCGTGCATGAGCCACGCGTAGAAGTCCTTGGCGTTGTCGGTGGGCTCACCCTCGCCGTAGGTGGCCGCCACGAAGATGACGGTCTTCTCATCGGCCAGGTCCTCCTGATTGATTGAGGTTTAACAAACAAACAACGTCAATTAAATAATAAATTGCAAAAAAACATGAAAATGATTAATCTGGGGGGGGGGGGCGAGAGGGCGTACGGCAGAGAAGTCTTCGAGATCGGTGGAGCGAGGGGCGAAGCCGTGCTTGCGGGCCTCGTCGGCGAGCTGCGAGGAGAAATCTTCGGCGGTGCCGGTCTGGGATCCCCACAAGATGCGCAATGGGACGCCCTTCTCGGCTTCCTTGGAGGCCGCCTCCTTCCCCTTCTTCCAATGGATTCGCACAAAGTTCGTTTTGCGTGAGCAAATTGTTGTGCAGAGAGCGATTACGTCATCAAATCGCAAATATTTGGTGTAGAATATGATGATGATGAAATGAATGATGACAAGGCGGGCTTGTACCTTGATGAGCGCAGCCTTGGCGCCTGTGCTGTTGGTTGGCACCGTTGGCTTTTTGCTGCCTCCGCCGCCGCCGGCCGGTGTTGATGATGGCGGTTTGGCGGGCGAGAGGAAGAAGCGGTAGACGGCAGCTGCCACCACGCACGCGGCGATGGCAACGACGACCGTGAAGGCCATGCTCGCCTCCTCCTCGTTCTCCTCCACGACGGCGGTGGCTGGTGCCGGTTCCATGATGATCTCTCCTCCTCTCGACCGATCTCTCAACAAACAAACAAACAATTATTAAAAAAAGCAAAAAAAAACAATAAAAACCCAACAAAGAAAAAGAGCGACTGGACAAAATAACGGAGGCGCCACGTATTTCTCCCGGAGGGTTGCAGGGTAACGCGTCCACGTCAGCACATACCCACACACACCACACGCATATGTAGAAATATGGAGTGTATGCTTGCTCCAAAGAGTATATGAGCCCAAATATGTTGGGGTACCACGGATATTGTCTTTTATACAAAAGGCAGCACAACAAGGCAGGCAGTGGGGCCGGGGGGGGGGCTACAAGCGGGGCGCTGAAGCTTTAGTTGCCCAGTTCCGTGTGGTTGGCCTTGGACTGCTGCTTCCTCAAGCTCACGTAATTCCTCATCTTCTCCTGGAACTTGGCCAGCTTCGTCTTCTTCTTCTCCTTGCCCTTCGAGTGCAGCCACTTGTGCTCGAGCGCCTGCTTGGCCGTGAGTCTGTCCTTGGGGTCCACCACCAGCAGATGGTTGATGAAGTCCTTGCCTGCTCAGAGAAGAGAGAAAAGAGAGAAAAGAGAGAAGAGAAAAGAGCTCACAAGTTAGCAAGTGAGACAAAAAAAGGCAGAGCGTGTGTTTGTTGGCACAGCTGAACAGCAGCAGCAGCAGCGGGGTTGGTGGCGGGTGGCGGTGTGCGGAGGGGGGGGGGAGAGAGAGGGCGCACCCTCGGCAGAGATCTCGCCCCAGTACTCCTCGGGGTAGTCGTACTCGGCCTTGAGGATCTGCTCGAACACCTCCGGCACCGTTTCGGCATAGAACGGGGGGAATCCGCAAAGCCTGTCAATATAACACGACACGACACACGCGACACACGCGACACGACACGACACGACACACAACCACCGCACACGGCAAACAGCGAAGCAGAGAGCGAGCGGGCGAGTTGTGTAGAAAGAGTGAATTGAGGAGCAAGCGGGTCAGCCCTGAACCGATGAGAAGAAAGGGAGCGCACACAACAAAACAAAAGAAGAAGAAGAAGGGGAGGCGGGGCTCGTACAAAATGTAGGTGATCACGCCAATGCTCCACATGTCGACCTCCTTGTCGTAGCCCTCGGCGTTGAGCACCTCCGGGGCTGCAGAGGACCCACCACCACCACCACCACCACCACCAGGTCAGCAACGACGACGACGACGACAACGAGGCAAGTTTGGAAATTGAACGTTCAACGTGTCGTTGGCACCACCGCCACAGATTCCAAAAAAAAAGAGAGAGGTCGGCTGACGATGAAGATGGAGGTAAGTAAAAGAGAGGCGCTGCGGTACCAACGTAACCGGGGGTTCCGCAGGCGGTCTGCATCATCTTCTGCTCGTCGATGATTTTGGACAGGCCAAAGTCAGCGATTTTGACCTCGGTGTCATCGGCAATGCTCTTCACGAGAAGATTTTCGGGCTTCAAGGCGGACATGCGAAAAGAAGGGGGGAAAAGAGGGGATCAGATTATGATTGGGGCTCACGACTTAGAAAGGGGGGGTGGCTAGACACCTTCAAGTCGCGGTGGGCAATGTTCATGTCGTGCAGATACTCGATGGCACTCACGATTTTGCGGACGAGGACCTTGGCATCCTCCTCGGTGTAGGAACCCTTCTCCACGATACGATCAAAAAGCTCGCCACCGGTCACCCTACGTTGGGGGGGGCACACAAGAAAAATGCCATTTGTACAAATTAACATCGACGCGACGATGTTAATTTGTAAAAGAGGGGCGAGAGAGGGTAACGTACAGCTCCATCGCGAAGTAGATTTTGTTGTCTTCTTCGATCATCTCGTGCAGCTGAATAATATTGGGATGGTGCACCCTCTGCAAGATCTCCATCTCCATGAGAAGGTTCTTCTCGTAGTCCTTTCCGACATTGGATCGATCAATGACCTTAATGGCCACCTTCTCCTTCGTCTTCTTGTTCACGCCCAGCTTCACAACAGAGAACGCCCCTCTACAAGTAACGGGGGGGAGGTGTCATTAAAAAAAACAACATATTGAGCAGATCTCGGAGACCAAACAGGATCTCGATGCGAACAACATTGAAAAACGCAATTGGCGAAGGAGGATTACCTGCCGAGCTCCTTCTTGACCTCATACTTCTGGTTCAGCACGCTTTCTTCACTCATGGCGCCGGTTGTTGTTGCTGCTGTGCCAAAAAATCTTGAGCGAAATGGCCGCTTGTAGGCCCACACAGATCTGCGTGGGTGCCTGCGTGGTCTTCGGTTCTGCCCAATGGCGGCCCTGTTGCAGCGTGGGTGGGAATTATTGTCGACCCGATTTTGTGCGGACAAAGCGTTTCTGATTCATTTTATTTCAGGCAATAATTAGAGTTTTTCTTTTCTTTTTGGTGTTGGTCTCCAGAGAGGAAACGGGAGTGTAAACGTCGATCGAGACGTTCTCGGGCCGAGAGGGGTGATGTCGAACAACATCAAGGTGGTGTGCCGTTTCCGGCCGAGTAATTCAAAAGAAAAGGCGCGCGGGGCCACCGAGATCGTGCATTTGAGCGATGATGGCACCACCGCCAAGATTATCGTTCGTTCCCCCCCCCCGCATCCATCCATCCATCATCCAGCATTCATGCGCTGCAGCTGGCTTTGCCTTCTTACACCACTTGGGTGCACTCGTGACCCGCGTGTAGGGCCAAGGCAACCACAGCTTCAACTTCGACAAAATCTGGGGTCCGGTCACGAGCCAAACAGAAGTCTACGATTACGCCGCGAGGCCTGTGGTGGAAGGTTTCTCCTCTCCTGCATGTTCCTCAGAATTGATTCGATGCATCTTGTTGACCCCCCGAATGCTCTTTCTACTCGTCTTTGAAAAGATCTCTTCAAGGGATTCAATGGCACCATTTTTGTGTACGGGCAGACCGGCAGCGGCAAAACGCACACGATGCAGGTTTGTCCCCCCCCCCCTCCTCCAATCTCTATGTCAATGCCTTTTTTTTTCAATGTTAAATTCGTGCATCAATTTTTTTTTGGAAATGTGTGTCACAGGGTCCAGACATCCACGATCAGCAGATGAAGGGCATCATTCCTCGCATGATCGAAACGATCTTCACCTTTGTCGAAGAGGCCAGCGAAACCATGGAGTTCCTCGTGAAGGTTTCCTACATTGAGATCTACATGGAAAAGATTCGTGATCTCATGGCGCGTACGTGATGAATCCGCTCTTGCTCTGTGCCGTGTCGTGTCGCATGTGTCGTGCGTGTCGTGTCGTGTTGTGTTCAGTGGTTGGATCTGCTGACGTGTTCTGTTCTGAGCGCAGCGGACAAGGCGGACCTCAAGATCAGGGAGAACAAGGACAAGAGCGTCTACATCGAGGGCGTGACCGAGGAGTACGTCACTTGCGCCGACGACGTCATTCGTGTGATGGACACCGGCTCGGCCAACCGCAAGGTCGCCGCCACGAGTACGCCCTCCCCTTCATCATCGTCATTATCATCTTCTTCTTCTTCACATTCCTCGTTCATCACCATCGTCATCACGTCTTCCAGTTTCCAGCTCAGCTCAGCTCCGCTCGCTTTCGCATCTCACCCGTTTGTCTTGTGTCGTGTGTCATGTGTCACACGTGATGTTGTCAACACACACACACACACACACACGACACACACACACGACACACAGACATGAACGACGTGAGCAGCCGCTCCCACAGTATCTTTGTGTGGAATGTGGAGCAGAAGAACCTTCAGAACGGCACCACGATGAGCGGCAAGCTCTACCTGGTCGATCTGGCCGGTTCCGAGAAGGTGGGCAAGACCGGCGCCACCGGTACGCTTCGTTCTTCTTTCTTCTTCGTTCGTTCTTTCTCTCTTCGTTCGTTCTTTCTTCGTTCTTCGTTCTTCTTTCTTCTGACCGGGGCGTGCGCGCACGATGCAGGCCAAACGCTGGACGAGGCCAAGGGAATCAACAAGTCGCTGTCGGCCCTCGGCAATGTGATCAACGCGCTCACCGACGGCAAGGTACCTCCTTCGGCGCCCGGTTCCATTCGACGCAAGAGCGAAGAGAAGAGAAGAAAAGAGCGAAGAAGAATAGCGAAGAAGAGAAGAGAGAAGAGGAGGCACTAACCCTGATCGCCGTGGCCCGAAACAGTCCAAGCACGTCCCGTACAGAGACAGTAAGCTCACGCGTCTGCTCCAAGAGTCGCTCGGCGGCAACTCGCGCACGACGCTCATCATCAACTGCTCGCCCTCGTCCTACAACGAAGAGGAGACCCTCTCCACCCTGCGCTTCGGCATCAGGTGCGGAGGAGCACACCTCGCCTCGCCTTGACCACGTTCTAACCGACTCGTCGTCTTCTTCTTCGTCGTCTTCTTTGTCGTCGTCTTCGTTCTTTTCATTTGCGATGAACGCAGAGCGAAGACGATCAAGAACCAGGCCAAGGTGAACAAGGAGATGAGCGTGCAGGAGCTCAAGGCCCTCCTGGACAAGGCCAACAAAGAGCTCTCCCGACTCAAGACCTACTGCACCTGCCTCGAGGAGGAGCTGCGCCTCGTCAAGGGCACGTGCACACACACACGACACACGACACACACGCACGCACACAACACACACACACCTCTCTCTCTCTCTCACCACAACACTCGCTTCTTCTTCCGTTCGTTTCGCTGACTTCCTTCCGTGCGCGCGCAGGCGACATCAGCATTTCGCCGGCGGCCAAGGACAAGGCCGGCGCCGGCGGCATGACGCTGGCCTCGCCGGCGGTGCTGCAGGTCCAGTCGCAGTCGGCCCTCCCGGCCATGTCGCCCGACACCCGCTCCAAGCTCCCCAACGTGGCCGCCATCAACGGTAACGCTCTGCCCCCCCCCACCAAACCCAAACCCCACTGACTCGTGTGTGTCGTGTCGTGTGTCGTGTCGTGTTGTGTCGCGTGTGTTGTGTGTGTGTCGTGTGTGTCGTGTGTCGTGTGTCCACAAACAGACCGTGTTACGGAGCTGGAGGACAAGCTGAAGCAGGCCGAGGACGAGAAGTCGGAGATTCTGGAGAAGGTGGACTCGCTCCAGGACGCGCTGCGCGACAGGGACCAGGCGGCGGCCGAGGAGCTGGAGCGGCTGGAGAAGCTCAAGGAGGAGCTCGCCAACGCCAGCGCGACGCAGGAGCAGTACGAGAAGGAGAACCAGATCATGGTGGGCAGGATCGCCGACCTCACCATCCAGATGGAGCGACTGCAGTGCGAGCGATCCGAGAGCCAGGTCGTCATCGAGTCGCTCTCCGAGCAGAAGGAGACCCTCCAGGCCGAGCTCCAGCGCCTCCAGACCGAGTTCGCCGAACTGCAGGAGGCCCACAAGAAGCTCGCCACCACCTCCAAGAAGGTGCCACCACCACCCAAATCACACGACACACGACACACGACACACAACACGACACGACACACGCCACACACACGACACACAAGTTCACATTTTTTGCCAGCACCCACTACTCGCATTGCTCACATTCCAGACTTGGTGTGTGTGTGTCGTGTCGTGTCGTGTGAGCAGGAGGAGGCCCGGCAGAGCAAGATGGCGGCGCTGGAGGAGAACCAGAAGAAGTACGCCATGGACTCGGCCGCGCTGCTGCAGTCGCTCGAGTCGAGCGTGTCGCGCCTGCAGGACCTCGAGACCTCGCTCCACACGCCCGACGGCGCCGCCGCCGCCGAGGCCGAGCCGTCGCTCTCGCAGGAGGCCGCCGTTGTCGCCGCCGCCGCGGCCCCGGCGCAGGAGCAGCAGCTGTCGGAGGAGCACGTGAAGAAGCTGGAGCGGTTGGGCGAGCTGGAGAAGAAGCTCGTCGAGTTCGAGACCGGCGCCAAGACCGCACACGCGGAGAAGGAGAAGCTGCACCGCCGCCTCGAGGAGCTCGAGAAGACCGCCGAGGACCGCGCCAAGAAGCTCGAGATCTACGAAAAGGAGCGCGAGCGCGAGAAGCAGCGCCAGAAGCAGCGCGAAGAGGTTCGCACCTCAAACGACACACACACACACCACACACGCACACACAACACACACACATGCACACGCACACGACACGACACACACACGACGCACACGCGCACACGACACGACACACACTTGGGGCT